CGCCGCCACTACCGCCGGGAACACCGCGGAGCCCTGGGATCGCCGATCGCTGCACTGGAGATACCAAGCGGCGGCTTACAGTTACTGCATGGAACGTTATAAAAGCAGGAGAGGAAACAAAGCACAGCGCCACCTAATGGCTGTTTTTCGACATTACACAAAAGTACAGAGAGCAACTCAAAGAGAACCTGTCACCATGTTTTTTTTTTTCCATTCGGGGTCCCCAGATGTATCGGTACACGGGCCACATCGTATATTTTAAAAAAATTAATGGGATGAAAATAACAGTTTTACGTATGAATGAATAAAACTTTTTGTGTAGTCAGCATGATATGATTCAGAACAACAGAGCAAGAACTTCTATAGAAAAAAGCAAAGAAATTCCACATAAACTTAACACATTAACAAAGGTGGAATAAAGATAAATTCAGTCTGCACATACCTCATCAGAGTCTCATATCAGGATCCCCATCAGACTCCCCTTACAATAGGGTCCCCATTGGATTATCCCCTTACATCAGTGCACCTGTTAGAGTCCCCCCTTAAATCAGAGTCCCCACCAGTGTACATCCTTTATATCAATGTCCCCATCAGAACCCCCTCACTTCAATGTCCCTATTACAGTCCTCCCTTACATCAAGGTCCCACTGGAGTACCTTCTTACATCAGAGTCCCCATCTCCTCTACTGAGTCTGCAATCTCTGACTATATCCTGTACTGAGTCTGTATCTCTGACCATCTCTTGTACTTAGTCTGCAGTCTCTGATCATCTCTTATACCAAGTCTGCAGTCTGTACTGAGTATGCAGTCTCTGATCATTCCCTATACTGAGTCTGCAGTCTCTGATCATTTCCTATACTGAGTCTGCAGTCTCTGATCATCTCTTGTACTGAGTCTGCAGTCTCTGATCATCTTCTGTACTGAGTCTGCAGTCTCTGACTATCTCCTGTACTGAGTCTGCAGTCTCTGATCATCTCCTATACTGAGTCTGCAGTCTCTGACCATCTCCTGTATTAAATCTGTATCTCTGACCATCTCCTGTACTGAGTCTATATCTCTGACCATCTCCTATACTGAGTCTGTATCTCTGATCATGTCTTGTACTGAGTCTGTAGTCTCTGATCATCTCCTGTACTGAGTATGCAGTCTCTAACCATCTCCTGTACTAAATCTGTATCTGTATCTGACCATCTCCTGTACTGAGTCTGCAGTCTCTAACCATCTCCTGTACTGAGTCTGCAGTCTCTAACCATCTCCTGTACTGAGTCTGCAGTCTCTAACCATCTCCTGTACTAAGTCTGTAGTCTCTAACCATCTCCTGTACTAAATCTGTATCTCTGACCATCTCCTGTACTGAGTCTGCAGTCTCTAACCATCTCCTGTACTGAGTCTGCAGTCTCTAACCATCTCCTGTACTGAGTCTGCAGTCTCTAACCATCTCCTGTACTAAGTCTGTAGTCTCTAACCATCTCCTGTACTGAGTCTGCAGTCTCTAACCTTCTGTACTGAGTCTGCAGTCTCTGACTACAGCAGCATGTATTCAGTCCCCGACAGTTTTCTTTAGCATTAGATTAGCTATATATTATGTGTGGCCCTTTGGACTGCACTTGAGGGCCTCTGCATCAAGAAAATTGACCACCATCGGGATAACATCCCTTTATTGATGCTCCTGGGTGAATTCCCCTACCTACAATGGTTGTCCCTAAAACAAACCGGGATCAGAAACCTGCAGAGCGGGGACACTGGGAGCAGTAAAACGTGACAAGTTCTAATCCTCCCCAATCCTGTACAAAAGAAAAAATCAGCACAATTTAAGTTTTAAATTGCCTTCCATATTAACAGCATTTTATGATGCCAGAACAGTCTATTTATGATATACCGTCTATGGGCTGTCCTGTGTAACCGTAAGCTGGCCTGTCATTAGGATAATACACCCTCAATTCTCTGCCAGCGTGTTACCAGCACAGACAGAAGCGATGCTTATGGCTTAGAATGAATTGAGACGGAATAGGCGGATTTGTGTGGAAGTCAATTGCGTGGCTGGTTCTGTCAATCCGCAATCAATGCCCAGCTGGGTGGTGGGGATGCACGACGGGGGGGGGGGGGGGGGGGGGAGGATGGGAGTGAAGGGAAAACGCAGCTTAATTGTAATCAGTGATAAGGTGACCGGGAGGGGCAGGTCGCTGGTGGTCCTTTTACTGGGGTAGCAATTAAAGTAACACCTGCTTATGACGCAGTGAGAGGAGCCAAGTGTCTACAGATTGCCGTAACATGTGATTAGTCGATAAAGTGTATGTAAACCCTGACAATAAACTTCTCTTTTGGTTTGGTACATATTCCATTGAGAGCGTTTTCTTATATCTCTTCAATAAGTGCCCCCCCCCCCCCAAAAAAAGGTTGATTCTGCAAGAAATCCAGCGAGCACCTACTTTCCTGTACTCTCTGCCTGTGCGGCAAATCTCAAGCAGAGTTCAAATCTGTGAACTACAGAACACTGCCCCCTATGTTATGGATATGAGGAAAGGGTTTATTATTATTATTATACAGGATTTATATTGCGCCAACGGTTTGCTCAGCACTTTATATTATAGTGGGAGACAATACAGCAGCGATACAGTTCAATACAAGAGGGATTTGAGTTAAGTGTTTTATAGTCCAAGGAGCACGTAATTCAAGGGGACAATGCTCCTTGTCCTGAGATACAGTACATTGAAGGCTCTTGCACATGACTGCCTTAAATATGCCACATTTGTTTAGACATTCAGGCCTTTTTTTACTGATCTAAATGGAGTCCATTGATTTTAATGAGCCTGTACAGAAAAAAAAAGCTTGAATGCCTAAAAACGTAGCTGTCATTAGAGCCGTAATTGCAATATATCTCTGGAGAAGCAGTATTGTCATCATGAACTACTTGCTCCTTCGACTACAGAACACTTGATGCCAAAAACTATACAAAAACCCACTGCTGGGAATTCTTTTCTTCACTACAAAAGTTGCCATCATCTGCAGTGGATTAATAATGTCCCTAGAAGTCAATTCTGTAGACTCAGACATATAACTATATGAGATATAACAACTATATATCCCAGAGTGACATTCATAAGAACACATTTACCATATACAGGGCTGTGGATAAGGGGGTACCATCGGTCCTCCTGTAGGGGGCCCAGGCCAGCAGGGGGGCCCAGGTAGCTGGGTGAATCATATATGGGCAGGTAGGGTGATAGGCATGGTGGGTGGTAATTACTAGAACCGATCCCCTGTATGACTCTCTCTGCAAAAGGTGTAAGCTGACTTCTTCTCCGCCTCCCGCTGCACCAATCACCCTCCCTGTGCACCATGTTTCCCCCCGCTGCCCATGTCCCCCCCCCCACCCTTGCACTGCTGGCGGTTTCCATCCTCTCCTTCCCTCTGGCTGCTGTAAGCCCACAATAGGATCCTTCAGAATGGAGAGTAGCGGAAAGGTCCAGTAAATATGTCACATTTACTAGCCTCTTCCTTTCCTGAATGATCACAATGAGTGATTGCTACCGTTCACTCACTGTGTTCATTCATAACTGAAGCACCCTAAACTGTATTTATTTGGGAGGGCCCTTTCAGGTTGACTGCATGGGGTCTCATGGTTTCTAACAGCAGCCCTATCCATATATTCAATAAAACCTCTGTCCCAGATGCCCCAGATACGTGCTTTACCACCTAGTTCCATTCTCGCCACAAGCAGATATATAACAATTTAGGAAAACATTAGGCAGTACATAACAAGACCATTTTCTCAAGGCCTCCATACCCGATAAACCCAAGTTTTCCTACAAAGGCCCCTGTCTCAAAAGAAAGCTTGCACCTAGAAAACTTAAAGTGTTACTAAACCCAGGACCCGGCATTCACTATATCTGGTCTCCCCGGACCCTGCATTCACTATATCTGGTCTCCCCGGCATTCACTATATCTGACCCCCGCATTCACTATATCTCCCCGCTCTCTCCGGACCCGGCATTCACTATATCTGGTCTTCACGGACCCTGCATTCACTATATCTGGTCTCTCAGGACCCTGGACATTCACTATATCGGTCTCCCAGGACCCTGCATTCACTATATCCGGTCTCCCGGACCACTGGACCCTGCATTCACTATATCTGGTCTCCTCCCGGACCCTGCATTCACTATATCTGGTCTCCCTGGACCCCGCATTCACTATATCTGGTCTCACCGGACCCCTGCTTCACTATATCACCCGCATTCACTATATCTGGTCTCCCCGGACCCTGCATTCACTATAAACTCTGGTCTCCCCGGACCCTGCATTCACTATATCTGGTCTCCCGGACCCTGCATTCACTATATCTGGTCTCCCGGACCCTGCATTCACTATATCTGGTCTCCTCGGACCCTGCATTCACTATATCTGGTCTCCCCGGACCCTGCATTCACTATATCTGGTCTCCTTGGACCCTGCATTCACTATATCTGCTCTCTCCGGACCCGGCATTCACTATATCTGGTCTCTCCGGACCCTGCATTCACTATATCTGGTCTCCCCGGACCCTGCATTCACTATATCTGGTCTCCCCGGACCCTGCATTCACTATATCTGGTCTCCTCGGACCTGCATTCATCCTGGTCTCCCCGGACCCTGCATTCACTATATCTGGTCTCCTCGGACCCCGCATTCACTATATCTGGTCTCTCCGGACCCGGCATTCACATATCACTATTCAACTATATGGTCTCCGGGACCCTGCATTCAAATATATCCGGTTTACTCCCGGACCCGGCTATTCACTATATCTGGTCTCTCGGACCCTGCATTCACTATATCTGGTCTCCCTGGACCCCGCATTCACTATATCTGGTCTCCCCGGACCCTGCATTCACTATATCTGGTCTCCCTGGACCCTGCATTCACTATATCTGTCTCCCGGACCCTCACTATATCTGGTCTCCCGGACCCTGCATTCACTATATCTGGTCTCCCCGGACCCTGCATTCACTATCTGGTCT